GGAGTCACCATCCCTGGAAGTATTTAAAAGACGTGTAGATGAGGTGCTTAGGGACATGGTTTAGTGGGCATGGTGGTGTTGGGTTGATGGCTGGACTCGATGATCTTAGAGGTCTTTTCCGACCTCAATGATTCTATGATTCTGTGTGTAGGGGGGTCTACGTGCCAGTGGCTGGAGACACACCACGGGTCAGAGGGCCCATGTGTCCGTGACTTCCTCTTCAAGAATACTAAATATACTTAAAATCTACTCTAATACCAAATCAGAGAGTTTACCTGATAACCTCTACTGTAACTCTAGTTATTTTCTCAATCGTAACTAGCTAGCTCATCCTCTAGTGGAGAAATTTTTTTGTGAACAGTGTTTTAAGAGATAAACTCAGTTTTACTTAAAATTGTTCTTTTATGTGATGATTCACTCAAACGGCAAGGAAAACGGGGTTCTGCTTTCTAAAAGCTGTTCCAGTTTGTTTACAGAATATATTCATTAAAATGGATTATAATTTAATATTTAATAATTTTAAACAAGTTCATTACCAATGCAGAACAGTTCTGCGCTCTCAACTCTCAGGATCACCCTAAGCACTTTCTTTTATTTTCAGGTTGTTTTCTTTACACAGCGGGCGCCATTGGAAGAGACACTCAGGTGTTACACCGAACACTTTGCTCATACTTAGAAATCTTCTTCGGGAGGTGCTGGTGTCAAGAGTATGTATGTATGACTTGTCAAGTCAAATGGAGATTCTCTTGACATACAGCTTCCTCTACTATTATTCCCCTACCATTTACTTGCTGCAACTGTAGGAGGAGCCAAAACACTGTATTAACCCTCCGGGAAATCCCAGTCCATTAGCACCACCACTAGTATACTAAACTAGAGAATCTAAGATCGCTCAAACTTACCTTTAAAACTGGACTTCCACTAACAGATCAGGGTCATAAAAGTGAGTTTTTTAGCCCATGTGTTATATGTGCTTTGGTAAGAAAAACAGACTATGACCCACAGCTAAGCATTTTTACAAGAAGAAAGTTGTACTTCATAATTTGTGGAACAAGTACAGGCACAAACTTTGCATCAAAGTTAAGGCAGACAAGACAACATAAGAACAACAATTACAAAAAAAAAAAAAAATCAGGCTGGGATGAATGAAGCGTATTTCAAAGAGCAAGCCTAATTAAAAAAAGAGAAGGCTGGCTATGGACAGCACACTAGAAACTTCATGAAGATGATAGAATTCAAGTATAAAAGTAACTGCTGCTGGGCCAAATGAGTAGAAGGAAGGCAAATATTAGGAAAGGAGAGCAGAAATACGTATTTTAATACAATGCAATAAAATTCATGGGATGCAAAGTGATGGAAATGTCCAAGCTAAAGAAATATTTCATCTCAAAAGGACACTACCTGCTGTAAGTCTTCACTTTCAGATTTCAGTTGGGCTACAAGAGCTCTCATGCAGCCCTTCATAGAACATAATGTAGCCTGTTAGGAATCAGAAAAAAAAGAAAGTGAATAGTATTAAATGACAGGTTGGGTGGCTTGCTTCTGCACAATGTTTTGGTATTTTAAGCTAATCACATCTGAAGTTCAATAAAAGCTTAGTAAAACACGTTGCCAACAATATATACAACTACTAAGAAGTTAAGCGTAACTATCAGTTTCTATTCTGGACAATACATAAGTGGTAAAATTGTGCTAAATTTTGTATTTTTTACAACAGGTCTAGGACTTGATCTGGAACTTTACTATCTTAGAAGCCTTCTTTACTATGTGCCAGATAAAAATCACCTGTGAGCTGGCAATGTGTTGTTACCTACTGTCTATTGTATCTCACAATTGTATTTTTTTCTTTCAAATAAACATAGTATGAAAAGTAATGTGAATATTTAAAACTGACGCAAATATAACAACATTTCTGACATTTGAAGAACAACTTTTTAATAATACAACAGCAATTGAAAAACTGTAAGGCTTACATTGCAAATTGTTTGTGACAAAGGACAATTAAAAATTATTCAAAAGTGAAGTATGTGTTAGAACTGTACTACTTGTCAGCTGGACAGCACGTACATTTACATCTCTGAGTAGTTTAGTTTATGCTGTAAACCCAGTGACTGCAGCCCTGTAATGGTTACTGATTAGATGATGTGAAGAGCCAATATTTTGTGAAGCAATTCATTTGCAGCAAGGATTTATGCTTTACTCTTGTCTAAAACTTGGAACAAAAAGTGAGTTATATGAAGCCTGTTATTTCCATTCACTCCTGAAATGTCTTCCTCTAGAGTAGAAAGATAAAAGTCTTCTCAGTATGAAGTTATTTTAAGATCCATAGCTTGGCAAACTCTGGGGCAAGAAATTACTGAAACTTTCTAACTTTTGAAAGCAAGGTCTTTGTCAGAAATTAGGGAACCTATTTTCTCCTATAATAATTTGAAGTAGTGCCCATTATGAGCCAGATATGCTCCAAATATTTAAAAGCAAGCTCCAGCCTGAAGAGGTTTGCAAAAGTTCATCAGACAGTAATAGTATTGTTAAATAACTAACAACTTTACAAAATTTGACTCAATTAGCAGTTTTAGTTCAACATCCTCAGAAAAATCAGTTACTAACCGTAATCACGGGTCCGTAATCATTATGTGCTATACCAATCTAATGCTCATAAAAAAAAAAAAGCCAGTAGATAAAATCCGTACTTTCAGTGACAAATTAAAAGTGATTTAATTTAATATGAGAGTCGATACTATACTTGCATGATACAACACTCAATTTGTGGTGCGCTCTGTTAGGAATAGGATGGAATGACAAAGGTATTCTGAACTTCCATCTTGAGCTCAAACTCAATATCCTATCTTGGAGATTTTCATCACCTGTTTTGAGAACTACAATTCAAACATAGCTATGAACTGAAGTTACTGTATGTTTAAAATTCTGCTCCTACCTTGTTTGCCACATCTCCAAAAGTCAAGTTTGTCAGAGCCATTCCAGCATACCTCCTTAAGGTAACACTATAGTGATCATTTGTAAGTCCATACATTTCACAATCCACTTGCAACAGTTCAGCAATGGCCTGCAAACCTCCTTTAAAAACAAACAAATAGGAAAATAAATAGTATCTCTACTCTAGTATCACAAGTATAGTACACATATACCAAGGAGCAAATTGCACTTATATGTACGGAACAAGTCTCAATCATCTGAAATCCAGAAGGCTCAGAAAGGTAAGTAAATTGTTAAATACTGACTCTGGATCTTGAATCCTTTCCTTAGTAGCAGCTGAAAGGTATGATGGCATGACATTGAGATTTCAGGGGAAGAAGGGAACAGAAGGAATTATGAGGAAGTAAAAAGCACACTCATCTTTTAATTCTACCCAGTCAAAATCATGTTTGACTGATGAACTCACACCAGTTACATAAAAGGCTATTTAGTAAATCTGAAAATTACTGATTTAATTATAATCACTGAATGTTACTTTCTGAGAAAAATACACAGAATATCTTCATTGATAATGAAAAGTGGCAAATTAAGGAAAATTGCATGCAGAGAATTTACTGAGCATGGACTAAAAAATTCAGGCTCTTAAAACAGCAACCAACTCATTACAAAAAAATCCCAAAACCCACAAAGCACCAACAAAAAAACTCCCACCCTGGAAAGCAGTCTCCATTGTAAGTCCAATACTTTTAAAACGGCAAATTTCCCATAATAATAATAATCTTCAAAAATTCACAATTCATGCCAGAAACAAGAGTAACTGACATAATAATTTATCCACTGGGAAATGGTCTGGTTAATTTAAACTGCATTCATCATTTAGAGAGCAACAACTGACACAAATGAACTGATGACTTGTTTAAACTAGTAGTAAAAAAAGCCATATATACAGCAAGGTACACAAGGAGTGTCAGCGTTTCCAGCAAGCTTCTCAAAGGAAGTCAGAGAAATACATTCAGTCTTACCAAGCTCATTCATCGCATGCCTGTGTTCTTCGTCAAATGAAAGTTTCATCAAAACACACACTGCGGGACAGATCTGGTGATCCACTGGAGCAGGCACTGATCCAGAAATAGGTAACTATTAGTATTTCCTAGGTGATTTTGTATAGATCATAAGTTTTCCAAAGCGAATCTAATCTTAAGATAAACCAGTTGCAGTTTTGTTCAGGGTTTGTATCTTCCCACGAACAGACAATTAGTTAAGAACGTTACTAACAGATCTGTGTACTAGAAATATATTTGATGCTGAAAAAGAAATTAGAGGGAATCCTGAATGTAAATGTTAAGTAAGAAATATGACTCCCAGTAAAAAAAAATTATCTGATTACTTTTAAAAATTAATAATCTTAGTCAAACAAATCAGTAAGGTTAAATATTCTGGTGGCATTAAATAATACGCCACCTAATGTGAAGCTGTTTCTTTGGTTGTTATGTCCTTATGAATGGTTAATTAAACCCTTTGTTTCATAACTGAGAAATTTTTAAGTTCATAATTTTGTCAGCTAGATTCTGGTTAATGCACAAATGGTATTGCTACATCTTGTTCAGAGCCCCACTCTTGCGAAATGGTTATGGCGGTAAACTCCCAACACCCATGACGCAGCCCACTGATTTCAGTAGTGCTTCTGTCATAAACACCTACAGCCTGTATTTACAAAATACTCTTAATTCAGAAAAGCAGCTAAGCAATCTAGAGGTTAAATCTTTTTTTCTATCTGTTCCCTGAGAAAACTCCTATTCACTTACATTGTCACTTCTCTTGTATTTTAATACTGCAATATTTCTTACATACAACATTATAAAAACCAGTTCATATTATATTGAATAGATTGAGATTATTTAGTTTGTTCTCTCTGTCCCTCTCCTAAACGAAATGTGCTATCTCCTGAATACTTCTGCATGAAAAGCAATTCGGAATTATTTGTTTAGATATGTTTCATTATCCATTAAAATGTTAAATAGAATGAGTACATATTCAATATTAATTCACAGACTATAAATATAAAACACTAGCATTATTGTCTGGAAAGCACACCAAGGTCTCTGATTTAAGTAACAAGTTTATAAATAAATAGATATCTGTAATAGATTCTATTTCCTAACACTACCTCAACTTAAAAAACCCACCAAACATACACACACACACACATATAAAACTCTCATACATTCAGTAAGAATTCAGATTAAGTTGTACTTTCTGTAAATTCACTGTTTTCAATATATCCTTGAAACGTTTTTATACAGCTTGCAGAACCTACTTGGGTTTTTGTCTTGGTCCATGCCTTGCTCATGTGCTTCCTGCCATTCCCAACACGTTTCACAGTAAGCACGGATCTGCTCCAAAAGATGGAGCACACGGATTTCCCGTCTGCCTCGCTTATCATCAGGCTGGGAGTGAATGATGTTATGCAGTGCTGCGCTGGCTCTGGCACGGGCCTCTTTACTACCACGAGAGTTTCCTAACAAGACAGAGTCTTTATCGTTGCCATGTAAAAGCTGGATGAGGAGAGGAAGACATCCAGACTGACGCATGGCTATGCAGCTGTCTTGGGAGCTAGACATTGCTAGCAATGTTCTTGACATGTCATCTTTATCATGAGTACCAAGCATTGATAATAATGAATACACCATTTCCACCTGCAGGTCAAATGATTTTAAAAATACAGTTACATTTAAAAAAAGACAGTTACATTTAAAAAATACATTAAAAAATAATTAAAGTAAAATGAAATTTGAATGGTACACATGAGCAAAACCACCTTATTTAATGGTGCAAAAAATTGTGCTATTTAGAAATAATTAAATACTATTACTACTTCAGCATTCATAATCTTAATAAATTTCACTCGGTTAAATGGCTAGACGAAGCGGGTGGTAGCTCTATGTAACTGTATTAATCTACAAGACCAATGGCAAAGAATTCTAAATTTCCATTGTACAAAGAGATTAAATAAACATACTAATGAAAGTGTTTGAGAAATATATTTGAAATATATTTAAAATTAATTGTGTCAAAAAAATATGCTCTGTATGAATCACACTTTCATGTAAAGATGCTCTTCAGTGAAAAACTATTTGTTATGTGGCATTAAATACAATTACTCTAGACAAAGGATAAGATTACATGAATTTTTGATTTACATTGTGCTAAAAAAATCTTACATCCATGTAGTTTAAAGTTTTCCTTTAAACTATTTCAAATTAACTAATCATTTTTTGTTATGATGACTGACTTGCATATGGACCAGATTATTTACAGCAAATGCAAAACTGAAGAGTTAAATTAACACTTTTTCAAGTTTACAGGGATAAAACCAGTAGAACAAACAAATGCTTATTTAATATATATAAAAAACTGAGCATTTGTCAAATTAAATCAAGCCATGAAAACCCAGCATTACACATTTAACTTGGAGTAACCAAATTTCTTATTAAAAAATAGCAATTTTTGAGGGATTCCCTTGGCTGTCGTGTAATACACTGGTCAATGCACTATTTGGTTCGTCTTTCCCATTCTGTTATCTTCAATAATAGCTTTAGATCAATAAATGCATCTGGTTCTTCTTTTAGTGGAATAACAGGGTGTAGAGGCTGATTTTAGATGCTATATAGAAACTCCAAACTCCTAAAGCCAAGATAAACAGCAACATTCAAAATCAAAGCACAACATAAAGAAAGTATCAAAGGGAATTGTAAAGTAGCAGCGTGTATGTTTCTTTAGAATACACCAATTAAGGAAGAAATGAGACTTTAGACTGTTAGACAAAGTTTTCTACTAATAACTAAGATATTTGCACTGGTTACCAGACCAATGAATGATTTTATTTGGTTTCTTCAGAGACAATTCTAATGTGCTTGAAGATGAGTACAAATACTGAGATACAAAAAAATCCCATAGCAGCGGGTAGACTAAGCAGCAAGTCTGTTAACATGTACTTCTCTAAATACTATAGGATTGCTGAAGCAATAGAAATCTTAGAATCTGTGAAACTGTATGATCACATGCAAAATCCACTGAAATAGTCTTGGGAGCCAATTTTATGACAGCCTAGCATCCCAGTTGGATGATCCTGTTGTCTTGGTCTGGGAAAAACCAAATATAGTATTAGAACAAAGCACTTGGATTCTTAAGGGAGAATTAATTTAATCTGCTTTATGCATGCCTCTTGACAGATATTTCAAGTGACAGCTTTAACCCAGTGTTATTTAGATTGGGAAGGTAAAGTTTTTGTCAGAGAATATAGCTGAATACAACACCAAAATCTGGCCTCCAGGTTGTGGCAAATATAGTATAGGAAAAACTAAAAAAATACTTGTCCGTCTGTCTCTCGTATACACACAGCCCACAGACATATCTCCTTCTGTATCTGTAAATGCATTCCTCTATTTAGAATATCTACCACTTTCCCTTCTTCTCACGCATTAATGTTAAGCTTTTCCTACCCCACATTCAGTTTAACCTATTTCTTTGCCTGTATTCTTCCACATTCAATCCCTTTCCCTGTCTTCAAGGGCTCTCCTGTTGTATGCAGCTTTTGGGAACTCTACAATTTGCAATGAAAACTCGCAGACAGACAGACTACCTGATACATGTACGTGCATACAGTACCTGCATACAGTGCAGGACCGAAATTACAACATTATAAAGCTGTTTTAAGGCCCAAAGTAATTAATACTACATCAAGCTAATAGGCCCCACTTCCCAGAAGACTGCGCTCAGCACACCACCAATAGCATCTATACTGCTGCTGATTCCAGAGGCAGTATAAACTCCAGTGGTTCATTAACTCAATTTTGTGTTACAGACTTGCCTTTTTCTTCCCTTCTCTTTTCATGCTGCGCATATACTTTGAGCACAGTCTTTTGTGAACAAAGATTTATCACTGTGAAGGGCTTACTTTTTTTTTTTTGTGTCCATTTAATTTCTTAGCAATCACATCTGTTTTGTGGATTTGGACTCTGGAAAAGTATTCGAAGAACTGCTCTTAAAAGGGTTAGTTTTCATCATGGATTATAAATCAACATCACAAACGTTTTAGATATTTTAGTAATTTCTAGCAATCATTTTTTCCTTACTGTAACAACTCTTACTGATCATCAGCAAGTAAAAAAAGGGATTTCTGGGCATATATTTTAAAAGTTGAAAAAATACTCTAAAATTTTAACTCCATAAAATTACTATGTGTGGATAGATCGTTCAGCTAATATTAGCACTACTGGCAGAAACAATGAGGTTATTGTATTAGTAAAAATGTAGCATTAGCGACCTGTGGTTTGTAATCTTCGGTTACCTTGGTACCCAGATGACTTGTCAGTCTGCGAGGAACAGAATAGTTATTACTAGAGCTCATAACACTGGCTGTCTCGTGGTCCATTCGAGCAGCAGAACCCTACAAATTTAAACAACAATTCAGTATAAAACGAAGTCTGAGTGAAAAAACAACTATTGCCTATTTCAGTTTCAGCACTGGATCATGAAATCATACTGATAGTAACGAACGGTCAACTTACGGTTAACTTACCGGTTAAGTTAGGTCCTCTCTGCCCTGACACAACTTAGAGGTCACTGTTAAACCGGGTTTTATTAACCACTTTTCCTGAAATTAAGTCTCAATAGAATTGTATTTTCAATGGAATTATTTTATAATTACTATTTTCACCAAGAAGGAGAAGTGGACTTTGCAACAAACCGAATTATATTTTTTACAGAGAAAAAAAACAGCCTCAACTTTTATGTTAGATTATGTAGTGCATACGAATAAGTCTGTACTTCTTCAGAACACAACCAGGTATGCAAGAACTGACAAGTGAAAAGAGATTCATTTGAATTTGTCCATATGAAAAGCAAATTATGAGTGGATGAATCTGTTTCATTTTTAAATGAAAAGCTATACAATAATGCTGACATTATTTGTTGTAATTTTCCTAGAAATTATTGTACGTAGCATGCTCCTACCTGTAGTAGCAAGACCCAGTTATTAGCATCTTTGTCCTCTTTTAATCCATTTTGTGTATTTACATTTTTCCTTTTTTTACCACCTTTTATTCATTCCCTCTTTGCTTCCCCCCCCCCCGCCCTTTGTTGTTGCTTGCTTTCTTTTTCTCTGCTTCCTATCTGTGAAGTTTCCCTTACTATGTCCCTCCCTTCCCGTTCACCTTGGGGAACTTAAAAATACATTTCAAGAGCAAACACCTTCAGTAGCAGAACGCTGTTTTACTGAGGTAGTCACCATTCTTTTGTTGATCCTCTACAAAAGCTAAAATCTGTTCATGAAATTATTAGCTTATTTTGCAAAACAACATTTTCAAACTATCTGGATCAATAAGTACCAATTTTTTTCAGTACAAATATATAACCACTGAAGAAAATTGTATGAAAGACACTTTGAAATAATTTCTACGTTATTTCGAGGTGCATCGTAAAGAAAAAAGAATAATATTCCTCTCTGAGTATTTGCTGCTCATACAGTTCAACATCTTCAATTTGAAGTTGAAAATGACTATTAGTAAAACGTAGGAATAACTTCATGTAGTGTTTGTCTAGACAGGAAAAAACTGTAGTTATACTGGAATATTTAAACACACATTATTAAACTCATTTCACTCTCCAATTTGAATCCAGAACATCTCATTCATGTTCCAGAATAAGTAGTATGCTAAAAGAGTATGACTAGAATGACTTAAATTCACACAATTTATTCTAATATATATTTCCTATGTAAACAAGCCCTTATTTTCTCTGTTGAGTATACGAAAAATTCAGAATCTTAAAGCTTAGAATGAAAATTATATTGGATTTTCTCAATTATTCACTTAAATTATCTACAGTGCTAGGAATTGGACATTGTCTCAATGTCCAGATGGAGATCGGTGATGAGTGGTGTCCCACAGGGGTCCGTATTGGGACCAGTACTGTTTAATATCTTCATCAATGACATACACAGTGGGATCGAGTGCACCCTTAGCAAGTTTGCAGATGACACCAAGCTGAG